TAAATCAATAATCAGATATTAAATCCAAAAGACGGGTATACCTGTTTTATGGGCGACTACAAAACATACTGTGAGTGAAAAAAGTATATTCGTAGGCAGACAAACGTCTTTTAAGAACATTTTAAAGTATTAGCATTCTAGGTCAAATAAATGTAGAACACCATATCTAAAAGGACGCGTTCATGTAAAGGCAGATTGAATATATAGATAAGTAGATCTGTTAGTTGAATATATTTGTCTGTGGTCAATCATGAGATGCATGTATCTTTTTTCAAAATCAAGTTTAATATCAATTTAACAAAAAGTGACTTTAAAGAGTATAAAGCGATACTTTATTAAATATTTTTATACAATTAATTAACAGTAAATAATGTTTTTCCATAACCTTATGGTAGATTCTCGAAAGAATTGTAACATTGACCGTCTTGTTAATATAACACACATGGATATTGAACGTAAACAGAATAAATTAGAATTATCTAGTGTCTATTCATTATTTTTTTTTCAGATTTAAATGATTTTTCGACCCAAAGCAATGCATAATTGATACGATTGGTTTTTGTAATTAATTCAACTTTGTTGGCTTTTGGAATTGATACAAAAAAATGGTATAGTTAAATTGGATAATGTCCTTTTATGTTTTAAATTAGCTCATTTCTATGAAATTCATCAAACAGACGCATTTGAAATTTGTGTCAAGGCATTAGATATTTTGTTGAATAATTAGACAAAAAAATTTATTCAGAATCTCGTCTGTGTACACCCGTTCAAAATTGCATCAAATTCCATTTAATTATTTTTCAATTTTAAAAGTTTATTAAATACAAGCAGATATTATTAACATTTGTAGCCTCGAATTCCTAGGATTGATCTAAGTAAAAAACATTTAATTACTCAATTTATCAGATATTAGGGACTATGTTACTATTTCGAAGCACTCTAAGCAAATTAGAAGGACTAATTATTCAACATGAATATTGGAAATTGATTCAATCAATCTGTCTTTTCATTAAAATGTCTTTTTAAGATTCATTGTTCTACATTTGTTTGACCTAGAATGAAGATATTTTTCAAAGAATTTTTTTAAACCCAAAAGTATACATGTTCCAACCATCGCCTTAAAACGGGTATACATGTACCCGTCTTTGGTTTGTAATATTTGAGCATTGATTTACTGTTTTGTTTGTTTGGTATATTCATTGCATTCATATTCAATCTTGATAAAAGGTTGTAAAACAAATGTTTTCTTAACTTCATGTATATGTTTCCATAAATGTTTAGCTACTAAGCTGTCTCAGAAATGGCAAGATAGAAAATCTGTTCCGACTTGCTTTTCTCTTGTTTATACCATTTTATGTATGGTAGTCGTTCATAAAAAGATTAATAATTCAAATGTGCACTAAATATTGAATATATGTCTTCTCCAATTAGCTTCTAGACCAAACTAATGTTTTGCGTTATTTAACGACTGTCTATCATGCAACGCATTCAGCAATGAAGTATATGACACAAGCTTCTGTCCTGAATTTGCTTTTGCTAAAAAATTGTATTTTGATTACTGCAGACATACATGTAAATATTATTCAGTTATAATTAGCAATAAGCGATATTGAATGTTGAATAAATATCTTTAACTCTCTCTAACATCTCACTTTGTAAATGATTGAAACTATTATAAGGCAAGAAGATTTCTTTTCAACCAGAATTATTCTTTTTCACAATATTTAAAAATGTAAAACTAACATTATTATATCCAGCGTAAGTAGCCATCATTTTTAATTATTTGTACTATAGACTGAATTATTTGACGAAACATTTAACTAAATATTAATTGTCAAAATCGTCAACATCCTCATTTAAAGAGTGTTAAAAAATAAATCGCACATTTCATGACGTATTTATGTTACTAAGTATAGAAATTTGTTACTTTTCATTTTATGCAATAAATAAATTTAGACAATGGCCATCATATCATCTTTGACTTCTGAAACATTTATTATATTACAAAAGAAGAACTACTTATGGGTAAAAGCATACAGACTAAAAATCAACATCTTGATTACCTGGGAATTCAATTTCATGCCACTTAATCTTTGATTTTACCAATGGTTTGGCTTTATACATACCATTTCATTTTTGAAGATAAAAAGACATTTCCTATTTCGAAAGTAAATCAACGACTGAACAGTTCCATTTATCTAAATTAAATGACGGCATACGATGATACATTTTCTTTGTAAATAATTTGCTTTTTTTACTAGTTTAAACATATTTTATTTCGAACATTTTGCACATACAAGATTTACATACAATAGTGAAATAATACAATACAATGCTGAAATAGAATCAGATCCGAAAAGCATAAAATGCTTACAAAGGTCTTTACTGTACCATAAATATGACGGGTTTGAAAATGTTGAAATATTAAATTTTAGGTAGAAAAGTAATTGTTAATACAGGTAGATTAAAAAAAATGAAGACGATTCGTCACTTAATCAAAGTAGCGACCTACAAAACAAAAAGGGACATTAAGTAGTAGTTTCTATCTGAAAGATGTAGGAATACGGACTTAATAGATTAGAAGCAATAATTGTCGTGTTTATAAATGTATATAATTTCAGAATGTCATAATTTGAGATTAGCTTTATTAGCTTACAACCATTTACACTAGGGCATATAACCTGTCATAAAACATGGTTATAAACTAATATTCTAACACTCCTCGTGATTTTCTTAAGAAAAGAAACCGGTGTTAATCTGCCAATATACACTGGTTACGGACTACTTGTATATGCGGGTGTTATATTTTCTCCTTTGATTATATAGATTACAAAGCCTTTTAAAGCAACATTTTTTTTTGATAATTTCAGTTCTTATAATGTTTTCTTTTCATACAATACTGATATAATATGTCACATACACTAACTTACAGATTTGATCCATATTAGTTAATAAATATTTTGACAAAACGGTGCCAATCCATAAGCAGCGTAATGACGTCATCCTAAGTATACAACTCATTCATAAACCGGCTAGAATGACGTCATTTCGAACATACAAGAATGATTAATAAAACACTGATGTAAACACAATAGAATCAAGTCTGAGACGTAAGTTTTTATAGTTGAAAATTTGATAAAATAACTTGTATTCTTATTTCTTCTGTTTGATAATTTCTATATCTTAGCAACAGTAGGGGTTCGAAATCGAACAGCGTTATACGATAATCGGCACCAGAAGTAAACTCCGCTTGAAAAATAACATTAGTGATCTTCTCTATTATACCTTGTTAGAATCGAAATAATATCGGTCTGGGTGGTGTTTATCGGCTATCTTACACCGGATTTGTCGTTTTAATGCGAAAAAATAAACACTCAGGAGGCCTATGGTCTTCGTGGTCAATTTTTAGGCATCGAAACTCCAATCCTGTGTTAAATAGCCGATAAACACTGCTTAGACCGATATTATTTCTTAAATAAAGCAATATATTACCTAGTTGTCGCAAGCGGGGCATCAGTCTTTTCCTGTATTTTATCAATTTTCCATTTATCTCTGACACTCAGACTCATGTTACTGAGCCGTGTCATCAAGACGCTTGATCCCATATAATCAACTCTACCTTCAATAGCATACATATAAACACCTGCTTCTTGTAATGGATCTTTATCCAGCTTTGGGTCTTCATTACATTAAACTGTATGAAATTTAAAAAAAAAAACGTTATCAACAGCATTCACTTTTATCTTTTATGAAAATGATTTCCTCTAAACCCAATTAAGAGAACATACTTGTGTTTATAAAAAAAATCGTCCCAAAACAATATATTTTGTCTCAACAATTCTTACAGGTTATAATTATAGCAAATTCATAGTTGTCCAAAGTGCAGGTTTCTATGTTGAGGCAAAGTCAAGCTAAACAAATCATGAGTACTCGCAGTAAATTGAGCCTTGAGGTATTCCATCTGAAATATTCGTATTAAATATTTTTACATATTCTGAAACAAAATACAACAACAACAACACTTTAAAAAAGAAGGTTCTTTTATGCTTAACGTTAAGATGTAAAACTATTTGAGTTTAATCACATGTCAATGTGCAAGTCATACTTTTAACATGTGTAATATACTTTCCCCGAGAAAAACAATTCAGATATCGGTAATATAACAGTCATGTTTAAAATGTTTGGGGCTTTTTAGATCACATCTCAACTTTTATATTGGTTGTTATAAAGAAGTGTTGGACATTGTATTGAGTACTGTACATTTAGTTTCTAATGTAGTTAGTGGGTAATTGTCAACAATCAACATGTCAACATGTTATAAATGTTTACAACACAGTATATGATTCATATATAGGTTAACATATGCACACTGATAAACTAACCGAGGACCTATATACGATTAATACTATGTCATGGTCACCGTAAGAGAAAGGAATTAGAGATAAGAGTTGTTATTAAGGGCTAAACTTCAAGCTGTAAGCCTCCAGATGAGCCAAAATATTTCAAGAAAATCAATAATGAGAAAAATTTACTGAAAATTTAAGAAAAGAAAACAAATTCAAGATCCAAGTTAAATTTTACTTGTAATCTGCGGTTAAAGACTTGTTTTGCATTACTTTATCACCATATTTCTATTGCGTTTCTAACGTAGTTAGGGCTGTTTTTGCATATGTTGACAACATTTTGGTAATTTTCTTGGATTGTATGTGTCGATTGAAATAATATGTAAATTAATTTACCGTATTTGTATACCTAATAATAGTTTACTTTTAAATACATTTCAAAATATTTCATAAAAATTAATATGAATCTGGAGGTGTGTTGCTTTAAAACTAAAATTTAATACATTCAATATAAATTTAATTTAAAGTATTTATAACACAAATGGTATCTGTAAGATTTAAACTTAAATTTTGAAATATATACAATCAAAAATCAATGTTGCAGTACAAGGAAGTCAATTAAGATATCAAATTGCACGATAGAATCCAATAGTGACAGCAAAGATTTACAATCAACATTTAACCTGAGGACAAAACTGAAAAAGATTAAAAACTTGTTAAAACATTATATTATATTATATTGAGGATTATATAAAGGTACAATATCTTTTAATTATCCCTTTAAATAAAATCATGTGTTAATTATGTTAACATGACATAAAGGTTTTAGCTTTTACGGTTTATGGTGTAGTTAAAAATAATGTTATTTAAACACGTTTAATCTTGCCTTGTATGTCAATTGAATATACTAGGCATTTCTCAACAGTAACAAGAGCTGTAATATGTGCAGCGTGCTCCATTTTTAACAGCACTTGAAAAAATGAATGATGAATGCATTTAAGAAGAAATGATAAACAAGTTTTTGATGGTTTTTGAGAACATTATGAAAATATAGAAAGATTTAACGGCAGATAATTTATAAAATTACATTCAGGGTCATTTGTCCCTTATAAATGTATTCTACGTTTTATAGTGACGAAGTATTCAAATTTTAAAATGAAAATTATTATATTTGAGGAATTAACATAAATAAAGAGGTTGATCTGAGCAAAACAAATCTACATTTTACAAAAGTAATATTTTCTTCCTTTTTCAAGCCTAAAACTAAATAATGATAATGACTTTAAGATAATTAGACCAATTTATGTAACAACGTGGCAGTGTCTTGAAAAGCTTTATTTACAACAGGCATCATAACTTTTTATTGCAAAAGCCATTAACTCAAGAACTTCAAAGAAAACTTTTTTTGAATTTTCTACTATGATAAATGTAGGCTAATTGGTCAATGAATTTATTACATATACCTGTATTTATATATTAATAGACTAGATATGTGCCCAGCATACAGACACCCCCATACAACATTTCAAATTTCCAATGTTTGGACAATACATCTTGAAATAAAAACATTCTAAGCCAGACAAGACTTTACCTATGACTTCCATGTAGACCTTGTCCTTAAAATTGCCAAAGCGGGTTTGAATATATTTGAACATCCACCAAGTTATGACCAATTTATAAGCTGGACAGGATTTGACCTTGACCTTAGAGAAAAACCTTAACTTTGAAGGTGTGGCCCTGGGTTTTGCACAGCATCGTCTTCTTAAGTTATGGTGATCATGTTTGTCAAGGTATTACAAAATCCCATGACGCACGTCTACAAAGTATTCCCTGATCTTTTTTCTGATCTTTTTTTGGGCACAAAAAGATATGTCATAAAGTAAGGAAGTTAATGTCCATGTTTCAAATTAACTGCTCAAGTTCTATAAATTCACAAAAGAAACATTAGACAAACAAACATAAAATAAAAACATTTATTATGCATTTCAGATACAGATAAAACATGGCTGTCCCAGGAAAAAAAGCATTAAAACAATTTTCATCTTCAACACAATCCATTGTATCAGATGAAGATCTTCAAGTTTTCTGTCAACCTTGTGACGAGGAAGGAACCAGAATTCCTGCCCAGGGTTACTGCACAGATTGCAATGAACATTTATGCAAGAATTGCTTTACAGTCCATAAAAAGCATAAACTTTCCAAACAGCATACACTTCTGGATTTAACAAAAATGCCTAAAGTTTTGCATCAACCCTCAACATCTACCCACAAATGCAAGTCTAATAAACTAAGCACACCCTGTTGCAAACATCCGAAAGAAATAATAAAGTTCTACTGCCACGATCATGAAGAATTACTTTGCAGTGTTTGTGTTACCCTAGAACACCAAGCGTCATCCTGCAAATTCAACTATATACCCGATATTTCTGGTAATATAACAGGCAGCAAAGAATGTCAAGATATTTTGAAAGCAGTAGAAAACACTTCTGGCCAATATCAGCAGTTTGTTGAGGATGCCAAAAAAATGACAAATAAGTCCAACAGCTCTCTCAAAGAGGCATTAGCAGACATAAAAAAGTTTCGACAAGAAATCAACCAAAGACTAGATGAACTGGAGAGGCAGATTAAAGATGCAGCTAAAGTCAAAGAACAAGAAAACAGCAAACATCTGAAAGCAGTAGAAACAACATGTAAAGATATAACCAAATTTCTGAAGATATCAGCAGACAAAATTAAACAACTCAACACACCAAAACAAGCTGATCAACTCTTCATGGAACTACAACTTGCAAAGAAAACAATGAAAAATGACGAGGAAAAGAAACTACAACTTTTATCATATGATATCGAAGAACACAACTTCAGAGCAAATGAGGCAATATTAGATCTTCTTAAAACAGAGAAGTCTTTGGGTACATTGACACAAAAAACCTTAAATATAAAATTTCCATGTGTACAAATTAACTCTAGACGATCTTTACATGAGGGAGAAATCTGTGGGAAGACATCAAAAGATAAAGTCAGTTTGAGATCTCCGTCTGTGCAAATAAGGTCTAGACAATCTTCACATCAGGGAGAAATCTATGTGAAGACATCAAAAGATAACAGCAGGTGCTGTATAAGAGGAATGACTCTGCTGACTCCCGATCTTCTTATCATCACTGATCGCAATAACAATGCTGTAAAGATGGTGGATACCAGCAGTCAATCTGTGTCATATCAACTACAACTAGATGATAAACCATGGGATGTCACAACGGTAACCAGTACTGAACTTGCTGTCACACTTCCTTCCAAACAAACAATACAGTTTATATCAATCTCATCAAACAAACTTATCAAGAAGCACAATATGAGAATGAATGGACAATGTCATGGTATAAGCTGTAACCAAGATAAACTTGTTGTGACATACTGTTATCCTGGAAAACTTCAGATCCTTGAAATGAATTACACTATACTGACAACAATTGATGATAAAAATATGTTCAAAGAACCAGATTATGTAACATGTAATAGAAGTTCTATCTATGTATCTGACAGTGAGATGAAATCAGTAACAAGATTAAACTTGCAGGGTGATGTGATTGGGAGTTATAGTTGTATAGTTGTACCAAGAGGAATATCACTATCAAATAATGGTACTGTCTTTGTGTGTGGCTGGAAGAGAAATGTTATAGAAGAGATATCAGAAGACTGTTCAACAGGAAATGTTGTACTGCAGGATGTGATTGATCCATTTTGTGTGTGCTGGTCTGAGGAAACAAAGAATTGTATTTCAGTGGTTACCATTTAAGTTCATATAAAAATTATGACATCCTTAAAATCTATAAACTGTCATAAACTTGGACAATGTTTAAACACAACAACATCAACAGTTCTTAATACATGTAGTGAAAATACTTGTCGTACTATTTTAGAATAAATGTGTTTATTTCAATAAGGAAATGATCAACATAAAATTTTATCGAATGCCGATTTGTATAATTAGAGCTCTTTAAAACTAACAAGGGCTATCAGTGATGACATGTGTCGCCTCATGATAGCCAAGAGCATGTTGAAGCTACTGTGAAGCAGTATATCAAAATATATTTAACAGGGCAAAACACTATTTTTATTCCAGGGCAATAACTCAGCTGACAATCGTTCAAGCGAAAGTCTTGTGTATTATGCACAAGCACGTGTTTGTGAGATGTCACTGAAGATATTGTCTGGTTTTGCATTTAGAGGGGTGGATGGAATTGTTTTGATGTTTTGTGGGTAATTATAATGGTTTCAGATTAGATTAATCTTGACTAACCATTGTCAGTCCATGAAATAGAGAAATACAGAATCCCTAAAGAAAGCCCAACACGACAAAATTGAAAATGTTGCAAGCTCGGTTTGATTGAGCCTGTTCATGGACGGTAATGGAAAGTGCAAGTTACCGTCCACGCCTCTCACTTATTTATACGGCCAAACGTAACCACATCAAGAAACTTGCATAGACTCTGTTAAAGACAACAATCGCAGAGAGACTGGTGGAGGACCTCATTAAAATATTCATACACCAGAGACACTGACAAGCAAATTTGTATTTAAATGTCAGATGGGAAAGAATGTCGGCGCAGTAATTTTGATGACCACGATCAAGATTACAAACTGGTATCGTGCAACAAGATTACAGAGGCACTTAAGTCACAACAAGTAATGCATAGAGTATGTATAAAAAAGAAGACGAGACCACAGAATCGAAGACCTTGAGATGAGCTCATTGGCGTATTACAGCACAAATTAGATTTGAACTGCGACCACCACGAAGACAAGACAGATTTGCGTCTATTTGAAATATAGTCCGTAAACCAGTCGAGGAGGGGTCCTTGAATACCGGCATCTTTTAGTTAAGCAGGAGACCCTTGTGCCACACTTTATCAAAGGTCTTCCTGATGCCGAAAAAGACGACCCGTATCTCAAGTCCTTCAACACGAGCCTTACAGAAAGAGTTGTAAAGCAAGGTTAGTTGATCATGTTGATTCACAGTTGAGTCGCCAGGTTTGAAACCAGATTGAAGGGGAGATATAAAGTCATTGACATGAAAAAAGTTATAAAGATACTTAAAAATAATGCGTACACAATTTTTTTCCATACAACACAAGAGTGATATTGGACGATAATTGCTTTGCTGGGTAACGATGGATCTGTTTTCTTAAAAATTGTCATTTTTCCAAGTTTGAGGAATCTTACAAGTGCGGAGTGAATGACTAAAAACAGAATAGAGTCGGTATTTTATTACGGACGAGGTTTCGTACAAGATGCGATTGCTTTTTTCATCAGGCTCAGAAGCTTTCTTGGTATTTAGAGTTTGGATAGCATCTTCAACATCTTGAGTTGTAATACTTATAGAAGTGAGAGTGTTCACGGGCTGTCCGAAGTAATCGTCAGGAACTTCTTTATCACAGTTTTCAAGAGAGGACTGGTTGCTGAAATAGTTGTTCAATAAGTCGGATTTTGATTTGTTATCATAGGAAAGTCTTTGAGTGACTGGGTGAGAGAGTGCGGAATTGTTTGCTTGTCAGTCGGTGATATGAATGATTTAATGAGTCTCCACCAGTCTCACTGCGATTGTGTTGTCCTTTTGATGTAGAACAAGAGATCTGCACAGTTTCTTGATGTTGGTTACGTTTGGTGCGTATGAATAAGATTCATTACGGCTAATTTTTTGAATGAGTGCCAGTGGCACAAAGTGATTTTGGGTTTGTCTCTGGCTTGTGATAAAGTTATTTCTTTTGGCATTTTTTACGATAAAGCGTTTGATATTTAAGTTGTTTATCCATTACTGCATCAGTCGGTTCAACTATTATTGTTCTTGTAGGAATGTACTGCTTTGACAGTTCGAGAATTGTGTTGCTTACTTAATATGCGTGTTCATCTGTGTCGATGTTTGATTTGCTTGACAATGCACGATTTCAAAGTATCTATTAGGATAAAAAAGTTAAAATCCTAAATGTTGAAACATTTTTATGTAAAATCAAGTTATTTGAAGAGGAAGAAATTATAACTGAAAACATATATACACACAAAAAAAACAAAAACAATATCAACAAGGAAGGACGGCATGCAAGGACACATGACCACCGTCAGGAACAGGAAATCACAGCTACCTTCAAGGCAATTAAAGATTGATTTTTTAATTAAACATAATTATGCATTATATAGTTAGAAATAATTATTCGGTAACATTAATATTATCATAAAAACTGCACTTAGTTAGATAGTTACGTGATTTGAAAAAGATTTTTAGGCCAAATGACTTCTAACAGTAACCAAACAAGGAAGTAAAAGTCTCATTAAAGCTCTCAGAAAAATACGCGAAGCAAAATTGAACTTGATCAGTCTTTATTGTTTTTTGGAAATCCCATTATAGACTGTTAATTGTATAAGAAATAATTTTTGAAAGAAAAAAACATTCAACATCTCTTTTAAAATAATTTAAATAATATTGTTCTGAAAAATCAATAACGGTATTCAAAACGTATATAAGTCATGTAAACGTGACTTTTGTAAAATGAAAATCGACTTTACAAACGTGCAGTATAATTATAATATCCGGTATCAAATCTAGAAGAGCAATGCATTCCCCTAAATGTAACGACTTTATTAGTATGTTTAAAAACGTAATAAAGAAAAATGTTTGAAGTAATAGCTTTACCACTCTGTAGTTTAAAACGACAACTAACACGACTAATCAAATCATATTATCATACTTCATTGATTATTGTTATTGAAATCTTATTAATATGCAGATTGTGCATAATTATCATCGTTATCAATTTCTATCAATATTTGCATGGAATACCTTTCTGTTTTGATATTAAATGAAGTGATTATCCTGTGTTTAAAGTTTTTTGAATGATTTATACTTTAAGCTTTAAACGTGTTCATAAAAACATAGCAAATGTCCCAGGCGCATTAATTTTGTAATGTTCTTTTTCTCCGATCAGGAACGTGTTGAACTACGCCATACGCCTTACATGGTTAACATTTTATCAGAGCCGCCAGTTAAATTACTTGGAAATAAGTAAAACCCATGTGACTTGCTGTTATTTTAGGAGGAACTTCTTCACAACAACTTTATAGAATGAACAAAATGTACGGTAGTTTCCGTTCAAAGAAAGGCAAAAAAAGTTTCATTTACATTTCAAATAATTATTTTCTTTTTTAAATGATATCCGTCCATTGTATAATGTTTGATTATAAATAAAACACAAAACAAACTATATGTAATGATATTTATTTTTACTGAATTTATATAATAAATGTAGCCACCATCAATGTAGGCATACAGCTGATATAACTGAATGTAATTATAAATTATTCTGGTATTACGTATTCTTATTTGATACTGTATACAGAAATAGTCCTTTCTGCCTAAATGACTAAAATTAATTTTAGTTCATGCAATGGCAATGGAATAAGCACGAGCCCATCGGCTTGTTCTTATGTTTATTTACAAAATAAGGATGCTACATTATCATGAATAATTATACATGTTGAGGACTTCTTTTCCTCTATTTTTGCTGAAAAAAAATTCTTTAACTGCGTTTTTAAAAAAATTTAAATAAAAATATCCCCTTATTCTATTATTTCACATTGTTTACAAACAACTCTAATTTAAAATTTTCCCCCAATTAAATTTTTCCCCAATTTAGAGAATTTTTGTTCAAATTAAATTTCTTTTTTAAAAACATTATATTATTTTGATGAAATAAAATTATAAAACTTCTCTTTTTATGTGTTGTTTATTCTTAAACCCCTTACCCCTAGTTTAAATTTTTAAGGTGAAAACTTAAAAACCAAAAAAGCAAAAGGAAAATCCCCGCGAAAATTATAACCCCTAAAAAATTTTTGCTTTTTTTTTTTGTCTGATTTTGGACTTCCTTTAAAAATAAACTTTTCCCAGAATAGCTCATAAAAGTTTTCAACATTTTATCAAGATTGTCAGACAAATTAGTTGAAAAATATAAAGCCCTTGTGAATTTAATCAATTGTTTAGAAAATATTATTTTTTAGTATAAATACACGACAAAAGTTTTTGAGGAAAAAATGTTTTTTTTTAAATAAAAAAAAATTTTCCTTTAAAAAGAGGGGGCCTTCAAACAAATTTTTCCCTATTTAGTTTTAGACTTGTTTTCCCAAAAATTTTTATAAAGATAACACATTATTATTAAAACCCTTTTAAAATTTTTGGCAGCATATTTTGAAAAACAAAAAATTTAAACGAATTTTAAAATTTGTTTTTGTACTAAAAAAACTTAAATTTATATTTTAAAAAAAAAATCTTTCAAGTATGTAACTCATATGAAGTAAACTATATATTTAATTAATAAATTTTTAAGCCATGCAAAGTGTAACAAAGAGTGTCCCTAATAAAACCATTGCGTGTTATAGAGTTATAAAGTACAAAAAACATCACCACATTATTGTTTATGAATTTGATTCTGGCAGTATTAATTGGCAGTATTAATTGCTAAAAAGAGTGATATTTGTGAAAATGGCGTAGTCGTTCCAAACAATTCACGGAACCTCAGTCATCAAATAAACGTAATCCTTTAAAAGTGAAACCTTTTTTCTACCACTCTTATCCGTGGATTTTCTTTTCATTCAAAATCATATTAAGACTTTGAACAAAAGTCGTAGTGAAGCTAAGCGCTTGGTCGTTTCTTTTCCCATTCTTTCATGTAATTTTGTATTTAAAATACAATTAAAATATATATATATATATTTCTCCTTTAGACGTAATGGTTATTTTATGACAGTGACCTGTCAAATCTGTTATTAATCATTGATTAAATGAGAACCATAACCGCGTGTTTTTGTATTTTAACGATACGAAAAACATAAGAAAATCGAACCTTTCTAATTAATTGAATTTCAAAATTGCAATATTTTAATAAAAGGATATAATTTTAATGGTGTATAGATGTTAATGAATGCCAGCCAGAAATATTAAGAGCAATTAATGCCAAAAATGTTTGATGAACGACACACAGTTGAATGTTTTATGATACATGAACATGATTCTTCGCTTGAATTATTGCAAAACATGTGTACGTATATAAGAAAATAAAAGGCTTAAAGAAGTTCATTTTTGAACAAATTCTCTGGAACGCTTACCGACACCTTTGAATCACTAAATCAAGGGGCCATGTATGTCAACTTAATAAAAAGGTCACAATCATTTACAAGAAAAGTAGTCATTTTGTCTAAAAAAAACCTTTTGTAAACAAGAAAACGGATTTCACTTCTTCGTGTCTGAGTACACTATCAAGCCCGAAAGTAGAAAGTGGCTTCACATAACTTAACAACTTATTTTTGTCAATAAATAAGTGAAACTCAATAAGCTTAGTGCAGCTGAACCTAATGAAAACATACGTTATCCAGTACATAATTTCACATTTCATTATCAAAATAGGCGCGTCATGAGCCGACCTTATCATTA